AAAAATGCACTGCGAACGTAAATGTACAGAAATGAGCTTCATACGAATATAATTAGTGTAATTTCTACTTATAGTTTATCTGCAAATTTCATATTTCCTTCTGATTTATTGAGATATATTGTCACTGAGCGAATTAGATAGATCTTCAATTATAATTTTAATTTTCGGCTTTTAGTGTTCTTTTTTGACTATTTCTAATTTTTGCGTTTAGTTTTAATCATTCTGTGATACATTGCAAATTCGAACGAAATTACTATAGCATTAATTATTTTCTTTTTAAAATGAGAATAATAATTTTATTACATTTTTATAAAATAGAATATGTATTTTAGATTAATTTACTTTATTTGGAAAATACCAAGAGGTAAATTATTAAATAAGGCGTGAAAGGCTAGAAAGTTTAAAACTTAATTGCTTATAAATATTTTTAATGGAGAAATTATTCTAAACTTTATACTTTATGAATAATTTATACTTTAGTTGAAAAATAATGTGTGGCAAACTTTTGCTAAAATAACAGTTTCTCAAGTTATTAAAAGAAATTGAAGTTACTAATAAAAAAAGAACTTGAAGAATATATATATATTATAATTCACATTTTCATTCTTATTGAATACTTCATGCGCAGGTTCTTTATATTCATACTTATTGTGATTAAAGCGTTGATGAGTGTTTGTTCGGTTAATGTGAAGGTTAGTAGTCATCGATATGTCAGTAGTCACTAACTAAAGACAATGTAAAACGACTTACGGAGAAAAGTGTGTAATTTAATTAGATTATACACTGTGCATTAATTGCACATAAGAACACTATAAATACCAATGGCTACAGTTGATTACAAGTGTTTTTTTCTTCAAGAACGTAATAGAACCGGTTGACCAAGATGGATGCAATTCAATTACATTTTTCATCAGCATTAAGATGACGATTTTTTTGCATATATGTTTTGTCTAGTTCGAAGGCAATAAGATTGTAGAATCACGATTAAAGAAATTTTCTAGTTAAGAAAATCAAAAATATCAATTTCATTTCTTTTTTCTCAATCTCCATATTGCCAAGATTGTGTCTTTAAAATGATTTCATATAATTGGCAAGTTAGTACATATTAAAGAAAAAAGAATTCAGCGTTATAGTATGTTAGGGTACCAATTGCTATAATTAGGTTATTTCTATTATACTTATCGGTATTTGTCTTCTTATTATTCGCAATCTATAATTTATATTTACATTTTCAAAAGTCTTCATTTAATTTTATTTGGATATAGTTCATAAGTTGTCCTATGCTCTTGAAGTTCACCCAACAATTTAGAAATTTTAATATTTGAAGAAGTTTTTCATAAAAAAATGTGTGCTCATATACAGCTAATATTTTATCGTTCATTTATAGTCGTTAGACCGTACATCAGCTTAATTTACGTTTAAGAAACAAAGAATCATCTACTAATTTTCTCTTATAAAAATCTTTAAATTTTTCATTTACCACTTATCGCAAATTTCATATTTAAATAATACTTTTGTCTGCATCTTTTTCAATGCTAAAAGGTCGTAACAATACCGTACTTTCTACGTGCTTATTGTTAGTGTTGTCGACTGTGACACAGCCACTCACCAGAAAATATGCAGCGGAGCCTTCATACAAATAATGAGAGCGTGAATGCGAAAAATGTCAATATACACGTAATACTCGATCCAGCGTCGTACACGAGCTTAAAAGTGTACAGAGGAATTTGTTATCACTTAGGGAGGATTGGCAGTTGTCTAGACAGTTTAAACAATTAATACCTTCCTGCAATGATGGATAATTGATGTTTCTTTTAAGAATTATCACAGGATTGTAAGAAAAAATGTTATCGCATAATATTATTTCATAATTTCGTGCGACTCGTTACGTTAGAGATCGAAAACCACATCAACAAAGAATAAACGGAATCATCACTTTCATTTTTTCCCTGTTTCTAAGTACAAAAAGTGTTTTTACAAAACTAATTGGCAATTGTTTTAAATGCTTTAATACTACTTATCATACTAATATTATATTTTTCTTATACGTTGTTGTTATAACATATCAAATAATAGAATACATTATTGCTTTCATTTTTCATTCAAAAATTAACGTGTAATTAATAACAAGATAACTCGTTTGTCTTTTTTAATATTTATGATATGTTGTTATTAGAACTAAATATTCAAATATCCTGGTATCTATTAGATGTGAGATTAAGAGTATCACAAAGTTAATTTCACTGTTGACGTTCCAAATTGCGCCTTATTGTCCAAGAATGTTGCTGCCGTTATTGTCGGCATTACTATCGAGTTTCATTTGCATTGTGTAACGACGAAAATTCATGGATGTAACTTGAGAAAGTCTGTCAACATCACGATTGCATATAAGTGGTTTGGGTCGGTTCGAATCAGACAACAACGATCTTTATGACATCAACTTCCTATTACAGTGAAATTAAGAACACCTAAAACAGGATAATGATCTCTAGCAAATAATTACCTTCATTATACTCCTCGGTAATCAAGACGGTTTCAACATCACGTATATATTCAACATCACGTATATTAGTCATCGCAACGGGAATTGCGAATTCGGCTTCGTTATTCTATGCATAAACTGCAGAACATTGCAAAACAGAATTAATTTGCTGCACTTGGTTCAGTGTATTTAATAATAATTAGATCAATCGGTATAAATGCAAATGAGCTTCAGACGTTCAATTGTTTCGACATACTGAGCAAACGGATCAAAGGAATTCCGCAAAATTATGAAATCTAATAACAGTTTCTACAAGCTTAATTTGCAAATTTTGCAATCTCAATGCACCTTTTTATTAAGCTAACGATTAGTTCTGCACGAAAGCCACTTTTATAATTGCATAAAAATGATATCGTTCCGAATGATCATCTATTATAGCAAAAATAAAAAAAATGTGCGAGAATATTTCGTTAAAATTTATTTAATTTCAATGCTTACATAGTAAACTATATGCAGGTTTCTAGTGCATGTTTATATTTACATATTTTATAAAGAAATTTAATTATTGTTTTTATACGTTAATTCGCAAAAATGCAAATAAACAAGTGCAACGTAATCATTGATTCAAAATACTCAATGTAGAAGAAGCAATAAAATATTCCGTATAAATATTCCGTAAAATTAAATTCAATTGTTGTCGTCAATTTACATAATTTCCTATTTCTGATGAAACGGGAATGAATTGCGATCCAACGTTGAATAGAGAAATCAAATTCAGTTACATGGTTCATTCAAATGCACGAGTTAATTAACTCTTGAGAGCAGCAATTGTGGTTAGACTGTGGGTTTTCATGCATTGAAGATTCGAAAATGTAAAACTGCGCACAATGTACACGATATGAAAAATATAGAAAATATTCATAGCTTAGTGCTTTTTGTATGGTAAGTCTGCCAAAGTTGATATTTTAAAATAAATTAAAGCGTAGAAGAACTCTCTATCTCATTTAAATGAAACAAATAATTTAATTTACTATATATTTCGTGTCGAAAATTATTTCAAAAATGTAATTATATTATAAGCTCAATTTTCATGTGCTTCAGACTTTATGAAAGTATTAAAAGAAATCATTTGTTAAGGGAAACCATTTTCTATGGTAATTTTATTTTTCTAATTGTAGCCTTAACACTTAATCAGTCGGTCGGGTAAAAATATATTTTATTGTAGATTGAATTAATTTCGAAGTGATTAATCACAACAATTACCAATTTCTTTATGTATATTTTTTCGGGGAAGGATTATATGCTAGCAGAATACATAGTTCTCTTCTTCTTCCTGCAAACTTACAAAATATTGTCGGCCATCAACGAAAATTTTCTCACTTAACATTAGGTTTGTAGAGGTTTCTTGTATGATTTTTCTATTGTTTCTAGAAAAATTTATCTTCGTTCGTTTAGATTTTGGAAATTTAAGATACATGTTCATATAATTTTATTAATCAAAACTGACATAAATGTTGTCCAAGTAATATTTATAAAATTCAATGTGCGTCACATTAGTGTTAATTTGATCTAGTTAATTACCAGTCGGTTAACCCTTTGTCCTATGATTTCTTTGACAACTGTGCTTGATAAAACTACTCTATCGTTAATAATTTAATAGAGAAAGAAAAGAATTTGATCCTTCTTCTGAATCTACGTTTACCCTAATGGTTAAAAGGTTATAATAGACAAGTAATGTTTCATTTATATGAAAAATAAATAAATAATATTTAGATTTGTCTAATTCGATTAGGAATTTTCATTACGAGTCTGATTCGGTATTATAAGAGAAGGCATTAAGTATTAAGAATCTGAATTTACACATACTCGTCGATTTACGCAAAAATCGGTTCCACGTGGATTCGTTTCGCGCGAATGAAAATTGTGTAAATAGGGTCTGTCGGTGCAAGAGAAAACAAAATATTAAAAAGAAAAGCTGGTATTTTGGAAATACATATTTATTTCACATAGTGAGATAAAAAAAATAATAATAATGACATTTCAGAAAACAAAAGTACGTTTTATGCAGTGTTTTAAATTTAGATCACGTAAATTAACACATTGTTGACTGGTCATGAGTTTACTTGTGTTTGCACTTGCATTAGCTATTTCAATGTTTGAAACGCAGGAAAATATAAAATACTGTAAAAGCAAAATATTAAAAGTTATGTAGAAGATATGTCCAAAGTTTCATTTCAATTCATTATGTATAAATAAAGTATATTGAAGTTTAATTAGATTGTATCACTTTCATATTTAATTACGGAATAATAACCGATGACATGGGATAGCTTCTGCGTAAAATTGCCGGTCAACAATGGGTTAAGGTTGCATTAAAGTTAATGCGTAAATAGTGTTCTGATTTACCGAGTCAAAAAAATCCGCATAAATCGAGGGTCAGGTGTAAATGAAGATGCACGGTCTAGATATGATTAAAGTCCCTGCATCTATGCAGTCATTCCCTTTTTCTTCTTTTCAGGCTCTCACTGGCAGTACCGATCACCAGAGAAGGTTATTCAAGATGCAGCATGTACGATGTAAATTACACCGAGATCCTGTTAAATGGAAGTTACGCGCCGGACGCGTCGTGGCCAACAAAAGGTTGCCATCACGGCTGGGAATTTAATTACTCCACCATCCCTTATGCAACTGTAGCAACTGAGGTGAGAGGGAAAAGTTGATGCATTTGATTCGACAAATTTTTCTTTTATTTTCTCTTGCCAGTCGCTTTCCTTTCACTCGAACGTATAGTACGCGAATTATTTGCAGTAGAGTAAGACCTTGTTTAACCCTTTGTCTTATAATTTCTTTCAAAACTGTGCTTGACAAGGTTAGTTCGTTGTTGATAATTTATTAGAAAAGGATTTGATGCAAATCCTTCAAAGGCGAACTGTTGATAATGGAAAAGTAATATTTAATTTATATTTGAACAAAGTAAAGAACATTTTGATTTGTTGAATTTAGTTTAAATTTTCATCAAGGGGTTAACACTGTTTCGATATAACACGTTTTGTTTTTAATTCTATATCTTTCATTGATTTCATTTAGCGCGGTTTGTCAAACCATGGTATTCATGTAATACATGTTACGCGATAAAACGAAAGAAATGATACATTTTTTATTCACTATTCCGTATTACTTGTCTCCATTAATTACGCATTAACGGTGCTTCATTTAGAGCTTGACTTCTTTGGGATGTGTCGCTCACTTTAAACGGGGTCTTACTGCATTTACGTTAGAAGTAGTCAGAGTTAGGCAAATTCTTTCATGACTACCAAGTAGATGTTCAAGATTGAATAATGAATAATAAATTTATGTAATAAAAACTTCTTACATATGCATGAAGAAATATGTAGCGATGTCATTGGGTCAGGTTTCTTCGAATAACTTTTTGTTTGTTGTTTGGATGGACTCACTGACAAATGAGTGTGACAAACAAGTGTGACAATAAAGCTATTCCGTTAACAGTATCATGTTTATCGTAATTAAGTGGATTAAGTGCTTTAGAAAATGAACAAACGATTTTATAAACATTTTTGCAATCTTTCTATTGAAAGGAATGTACTCTCAGACTGATATTCTATAATTTGCGAAATTGTAGACGATATAAATGTTTAAAGCATTCAACCTTTTCTATACCTGAACGTATCGATGACCGTTTTTCAATTAGTTTAATAATTTACATTTGCATTTTGCAAATTTTTATATGGGCAAGTAAATTTTATTTCGATGAACTACATATAAAGTCAACTTGCATTCGTCTCTCAAATAAAACTCCGTCCGTTGCAAATATTTAAAAATCTTGCGTTGAATCAGTAATAGAGAAGTGCACGTGCATACAAGAAAAGTTAAAATTAAACATTCAAGGGTAATCGGTAAATGAAGTAAGCCGATGTTAACCTTACCTATAGAAAAAACCGTTAAATAACAATATGAGATTAATATACGCGTTTCTTAGCATTGTTAAATTTTATGAAACCGTGGAATTACAATTACAATTTAATTACAACTTAATTAATTGTATAAATTAACATAATTCATCGATCTTCAGATGAGCAAAAAAATATTCCGTTCATACAGAATGTTTCGGCTGGGAGTATTCTGCACTCAAAGGGTTAATAGAAAGGCTACAATTTTTTATGTAAAGCATAGAAAAAATCAATTGTTATTTTTATCAACGTTTCACATTAATACTCCTAATTCATTTTTCTAGTTAGGATGGGTGTGCGAGTACAGCGCTTTGCCAACTACGGCGCAAAGTGTCTTCTTCATCGGCGCTATCTTTGGAGGATTGATTTTTGGTTGGATAGCTGATCAGTATGGCAGGATACCAGCTCTGATCGGAGCTAATATGATGGGATTTATAGCAGGTGTTGCAACAGCCTTTTCAAATTCCTTCTGGCAGTTCACATTGTGCCGATTTTTTGTTGGATTCGCCTTCGATAATTGCTTCACTATGATGTATATATTAGGTAAATAATTTTTTACTTTTTTAATAATAACTTTATTCAGCAATATCGCTGAGCCCTCCTGATGGTTTATGTTTGACCCGTATGTTCCGTTCTTTTATTATTTTATTATTTACGTGATTACTCCGATTGTAATAATAAAAGGGTTTGCTGCAAGAAGAAGGCAGCTCCATTTTTCACACATTTTTTGTTAAACATGTCATTTCATAAATATCTTCAAACAAACATAATTGACAGATGAAAGTATTAACAGAAAGGACTGATATTTAATCCTTTCGTCTCTGAATATGTAGTTTCTCCTCTAAATCGAAGCGAGGGCCAAGAATAGTTACTTTCAAGCGAAGTTGAAGCTTTTCAATGAAAGAAATAAAATAAGCAGTCATAGTAATAATAACAATATTAATAATAATAATAATGATAATAACTGTCAGTCATAAGTAAAGATCTCTGTGTGATATCATTTTCCTTCATTTTTAAAGCGTTTTCTAGTTTTTCGGGAATTTAAAATGTTTGTGGTACATATGTTTACCATTCGGGGCGAAACAGTTAATGATATGCTGAATTGATTATGTGATCTTTTGATAAGAAACGTTACCTAATTAACACGTACTAATTTTGATACGTTTTCGGTGGGATGAATTAACACATGTGTGGATAAAAGGTCAAAATGAAATTTGTGTGTCTTTAAACGACAAATTTTATTATGTTATCACACCTTCGAAAACATTAGTTTTGTAAAAACATATAGCAAAATTGGAATAATGCAAACATTTGGAAAACGCGTGTAAAAAGGCTCGGCACCATTTTTATTACGATAACGTAAGTAATACATAAAAATAAATGATATCGTTAATAAAAAAGTGTTGTTGCGCAGAATTTCTTTTTCCTTCGATGTCCTTGCACTATTAGATGAGGTCAACACTCGCATCTCCGAACGGGCAATTCTATCTTTGTGCCTCTTACGTACAACTGAATGAGTTTCGAGCCCCTCCGCATGTTCATAACAATATTTTTATACTCATTATATTAAATATAGATAAAAGGGGTTTGAACCCCTCATTGGAAATGCAGACTGCCAAGTTTGTCGCAATTTCAATTATATTGCTTCTCAAGCAAAGATGCATAGGCGCCAAATGAAACAATTTAAATTTCATTACAATTTGTGTATCCTCATTTCGAGCATATCTGTAACGATTTATCATTCGTCACATTTTTTTAAAACAGCGAAAAGTTTCATTTGAAAATTTTATATGTACGTAGTGATTTTTCAAGTTCAATTTTCTCAGATACTAAGTCCCGCATACTTATATATTCCCGATATAGTATACTCCCGATACTTTTTTTAAATTTTGTCATAAGTAATCATGTTATGTTTAATTAATGCTCTTCCGCGTGTTATTTCATCAGATTTAGCACAGTGAAGGTACTTTAAGAAAAAGATTTTTTTAATTAAACCTATTTTCACGAGACTTTGACTATATTCGAATTGATTGATTAAAGAGTATTGCGATACCATATGTTAATGCACATAAAACACGCGATCACTTTCAACTTGAAATACCTACGTACACGATGTTCGTGCAACTTCGACCTCGATAATGCGATTTGTTATTTTTTTTTTCAAATAGTTCGTACTTCCTATATTGTTCACAATTGGCGACCTATTTTATTGAATTGTTAATTAACATACGTCTGTGGTATTTCAAACACATCGTTCGGTAAACCACACAGATAAATATGAAAGTTATTAGTACAGAATATACGAAACCAGTATCTCTTACAGAAGCGTCTAACGAAGTAAGAACAAGACGCAAAGAAAAATTCAAAACCACAGGTTCAACGTGTGAAAATTATGTAGTTTCCTTGATCCTACGGCAAATTATCCCGCAAACGACATTCCAGCAATTAGAATTGAAGGGAAACTCTCGCATGCGCGCACGGAGCGTGACTCGATGACTCAAACCAGGCTCTCGGAAAAATTTACGACAGACTCGACTGATTCTACTATCAAGAACTGGGCCAAGTTGACGGTATTCACGTTAATTGTGGAGCACTCGGATTTCCTAATTGTCAAGGTGACCGTTTATTACCGATCACAATTGGCCGCGTATTATCCTCTTCTCGAAACTAAGTACAGGTAACCCCTGTATAACACCGTTGTTACGTTCATAAAAAATGCCGTGTTATGCCAATTCGTGTTATACGAAACAAAGAACTAGTGCAAAAAAGGGAGTTGAGTTCTAAAAATGGGAGAAACATGATTACCATTTCTAAAAAAGAATAATACGCACCCGAAAAATGTTAATCTATGTATAGTGTGATAAGAAGAAAACACAACGTTTTAAAATGTACTAATTACTCCACAAACAAAATAGGATTTTAAATTCTAATTTTGCAGACAAATCTAACATAACATACCCGCTCAAATGAAAGATTTCCAACGAGATATCTTGCACATTTAAAAGCTTTTATTTCGTCCTGTCTTGTACGGGGATTTTTCTAATTTCGAATTTTGCTTGTAAAAACTTTAAACGTTGTACATAGAATCGGTATCAAACTGTCGGAACATTTAGTGTTAATGCAATGAAGGGATTAAGGGAATAGAATGGCATTTATATTTTCTAATTTCTGATCGAAATTTTTGTCACGGGTCCGTATTTTGTAGCCAGTTATTTGACTAGTTACGGTAGGTAAAGTGCCGGTACGGTTAGTATTATATACACCGATTATAAATCATTAAATGCATCTTTTTTACCGATTACATGTCAGTATGTACATAATCCGTGTATATCTTCGATCGCGCATAACTTACTGCGTTCCACAGCAAATAAATCAAATGAGATGTCGATAACGCTCGTTAGAATCTCGCGCTTTCATCAACGCGCGTACGTTATATTCACGTTTGAATGCTGTAAGTGGAGGGACAGGTGGAAATTGGAGGAAAAATACGGTAAGATCGCGAGACGTCGAGTGGAAAAGAATTTAAATTGTAATTCATTTCGAAACGCGGACTCGCGTCCTTGCGTCGAACGCGTAAACGTTGATCGATCGGGCGCTTCGTGCTACGCGGATATTATTAACACGATGTAACTCGAGTTACCGACGTGTATGTTAATCTCGAACTCAGCAAACGGTCGATTATAAGAAAGTTTCTTTGATTGACGATCATTTGGAATCGAGCATTCATCACGAATGCCGAAGGAAACGTCTTTCAAGAAAGAGAGTCGCGCTTCTGGAAGAGTTACTGTACATACCTCGGAGGCAATAAACCTTGATAGTATATGATGATGAAGCAAGCTACGTAACAGTAAGAGAAGGTATCTCATTCCTTTTATTACAAGCAGTTTCAATATTTTTTTCTAATTGTAACGTATGATAATAGCGTGTTGCTTTCAGAAAGTATTCTAGTATACAGAGTCCTTGAAGCCGACTCTAAAATGGCGAAATGCAAATTTCGTTAATTTTAACATACTTTAGGACTTTACATAATTAGTGTTTCGAGTGCATTAGTTCTTTTTCGTGCACTGTGTGTACTGTATTACTAGCGTTATTATTATAATTATAATATTATATAATTATTTACATTATATATAATATAATAACAATAACAACAATATATATTCATTATTATTATTATACACACCTATGCAACATATGGTTATATTAGTTCAATTTTTATTAATGTACCGTAATATTTTGATAATCAAAATTATATAAACATTACGTAAGTTCTGTGTTGATAAATATTATCCAATGATGATATTTCATGAAACGCATTCATCTGACCCTAGTTCGTACTATCAAAACATGTCTTCAATACATTTTCTTTTTTTGAAACATATGAATTCTTATATTTAAATAAGTTTATAATAAAGGGTAAACCTCGATTGCTTGGAAATGAGACTCATGCTACCTTACGGCTATCGACATGCATTCGTAACGCACATATAGTCAGTAGATTGACCAGTGAAAAAGTAGTTTATCGTGTAAAACATGCTGTTGAATAATTTTACGTAAGTCGTGGCAGACATGTTACTCTACCAATTGACAAGAGATGATAAGTTGATTAGTATAGTAAGTATAGTAAACGTTCGACTGTTTCTGAGAAAAAGGAATTTGCATTTAAATGAAATTGTTTAGCCGAATCCACCGAAGGAGTGTTTTACCAGTAGATTTTTGATCTTTTTTCAAACAAGCTTAGGGGCAAATAGTATAATATGATGAATATTGAAATATGAAATTATGAAATTACCTAAATAAAAGTGTTTACAATGAATATCATTTGTTTAAACATTGTTTTTATTATGTAGTTTATGTTGAAATGCCTGGCAATAAAGCACGAAAGTCGCCAATCACTGAAAATAGTGTGGATCTTTTCATTTCATAAATGGATTTCCTCATAGATTATTATACAATAGATAATGAAGAGGAATTTATCTTTTATGTTGTAGATAGTTTAAAGACATTAATTCGTCTTGTGTAGTTTACTTTTTATCTGGCTATCTAATAACTACAATAGCTTCCTATACGTAATAATATTCTTTAAGTTGTTTAATAATATACTGTATTATATCTACTTTTACTTCTATTGATCATATTTGCAATTTCATTACATCTATAATTTTGAAGTCATAATTCATTTACATTAATTTGTTAGAAATAAGAGGGGATTCTTGTCTAGAGTTTTCAAATAATCGATTTTTTTTTTGTTTGGATTTTCTATTATATTGATTTATTTGAAGAATACATATTTACAGGAAAATTTCAAACCTTTAACAATTTGCGGAGTTTGGGGCATTCTATTATAGTGTTTGCCACCGTTAGTTGTACTTACTATGAAAACTATAAACGCGATTTTTTAAAGACATTGTTTACTAATTTACGTGTACATTATTTCAACCGTAATTACATATTAAGAGTAATTTATGCTGGAAAACCTTGCGAATGTTATGGTGTTTGTGTTTAAATGATACTTAACTGTGAATGGAAACGGTAGTTTTTTCTCATAAGGAGTGTGTTTTGTGCAGCGAATCATTAATTTATTTTTTTTAACGACGTCGAAATGAATGGCTAACCTAGCTCCATGGTAATAGGCAACAGTAAGTAATATTTTGCAGCGATCCTTAATGTAGAGGAGGACGCGTTACCTTCGATCCTGGTTCCGGAAGGAAGCGAGGTCAGGACTAAACAACAGCAACCTTGAACAATTAAACTTGCGATTCGAATGACTTTCACGTGTCACTAATGACACGTGACTGCCCCTTAAAAATTCAATGCCTCGTGGTTTTAATTCCATGATTGTGTAATGGCGTGAAGATGCAGAAAACGCAACGAAATTTCTTGTCACGGAATTATTTCTATTTATACTTCCCACAAAACAGGAGATAATTGTTCTTAACGAAGCAGTAGCGTTAGGCACTTAATGAAGCCTTGTTCTGTAATTTAAAATTACCTTTAATACGCTGCAAGTGCGGCGTTCATTACGACCACTGTTTTTCGTATCATGTAACAAATTTGTAATTTTTAGTTAAAGAGTTGTCTAGAATTCAGGATATTAGGATAAATAAGTGGGTGTACGGAAGAAGGGCGTGTGTTATATTTCACAAAATTTATTGGAAAATTTAAAAACGATTTATTACTTGCTATCGTAATTAGAGAAATCGGAAAATAAACGATTATTGGATAATGAAAGAGTTATTTACTACCTGCAGATGCAAATTTAGATATTTGAGGTAAAATGTGCGACATATGCTCTTTTTCTAAACAACCATTCAAATTCTCAATTCTGCGAAGAAGAGGTTTATTTTTTTAAACATTTCTTTACAGAATGTTTGTATGGATTTTCTTCCTTCTTTGCTATTTGAAGAACCATGTATCGAAGAGTTGAACATTTATAGCCAGCAGATAAAGTAGAAGATAAAGATGTAGTAAAACACATTTTCTTTAGATTTTATAAAAAATGAATTTGACTGAAGATTTGTTTAAGTTTTAATCTTCATGTGTTTTACATTATTTTTATATCTAAAATTATTAGATATCGATACTTAAGTTCCTATAGTTATTTATAATATACAAGCTATATATTTCTTTCATCGTACTTTCTTATACTTTATTTAAACGTAATTACATAATAAACTATAAATTATGTAAGTATAAATAAATCAATACGTTTTCTGCAAACACCTTATTAAGATGCCAATCTTTATATGTGTAAACATATTATGGTGGTTACTACAGAGTAATTACCAATGCAGAAAGGTAATTGTTTTCATTTTTGAAAGTATGATTAATAGTAAGGTGATAATTTAATATAATTCATATATCACATAGCACATTAAACATTTTATAATACATAGGTATACAATATAATATTTGTACTTTTCTAAATGTAATCAATTATAGTATAACAGAATTCATAATAAATCAAGAGACAAACATATTTTATCATGATATTGTCTTTATAAGTTAAGCTATAATTCAAAGTATGAAATAAATCATTGAAAAATATGGATATCTCCAAAAATGAATTCTTTAATTCTACATTCATTATATAATAAAATGTAATGTCTATAAAATTGTTATTTGTTTGATAGTGCTGGAATACGTGGGACCAAAATGGAGGACATTCGTGGCAAACATGTCGATAGCCATGTTCTTCACGTTTGCGGCGTGCGTTTTACCCTGGATCGCATATTTCTTAGCCGATTGGCGAATGACCTGTATCGCGACATCAGTTCCTCTCGTCTTAGCAATAGTGACGCCATGGTTGATACCAGAGAGTGCTCGATGGCTTGTGAGTCAAGGTCAAGTGGACAGGGCTATCAAGATCCTGGGAAAATTTGAGCGAATGAACGGCACAAAAGTGCCTGATGACGTGTATAAACGATTTCGAGTAAGTAAAAAATTGTTTTATACGTTTAGTTATATTTTACATCAATTTTTATGTATATTCATACTTTATATCATATTTTATATAAATTTATATTTATATTTTATGTAAATTTTAGATTATAATTAATACTAGTTTCTTGTGTAACAGGAAACTTGTGCCAGAATATGCAAAGAGGAAGAAGCAGAAAGAACGTACTCAGTGCTGGATTTATTTAGATCTCCACGGTTACGAAACATCACGATCTTATTTATCATTATATGGTATTTATGAAGAAATTTTAACATTATTTGCTGGGTGTTAGTTCCTGGTAATACTCTAAAGAAGTAGAATTGCACATAATATTTGCTGGTATTTTTTCTTATTTTTCTTACAGTAGTTTCATATCAATATCGATGGAAAATGTTACATATTAAAGATATATTCAATAATATTTGATTGTAACATGAAAAGTTTGTTTATCCATATTATTAAAAATTAATGGATAAATCAATTATTCGGTTAATAATATTCGATTACAGTATTACTATTGACATACCATTGTATCTCATCGATTGATTACACTATGGAACAAATTTTAACCTATTTTGCTTTTTACAATAACCGCTAGGTGATTCTTATAGAGTTCCTTACCCTAAATACAAATCCGAAAACCAAATTGCTGGGTCACATCCAGTTTTCGAAAAACTGGGTTTTTGTAAAACCGGTCGAATTTTTCAAAAAACCAAGTGTTACGTGAAAACTAAAAATGATAGGTAGTTAAAACTTATCGTAGAAAATAGAGGAGTCCTGCCCGAACACGTAACTATAAAAATTTTGAATTTTTCGTATCATTAAATGTTTGTAAATGATGATCAAAGTTTAAAAAAGGGTAGATGCGCGTACTTTTTATGCACTTCTGTTACATTTCTACGAAAAGTGGGTTGGCTAGCACGAATTTTTTATGCACCATTGGATTCTGTAGACATTTCTGAAGAGAAACCCCCCGCAGGAAGCGTGAGATCGGTTTTTCTTTGGGACAGGGTAAGAAAATGTCCGCGAAGAGCGCATGCACGGAACTTTCGCGCCACACGGCCATCGCTCGCCGGCCAGAGCTATGCAGGGCCGTGACTACGCGCTGTATAGACCTGGACTCCGGTTACTTCTTATATTTACATATAATGTTTAATTGTTTTGTAAATTTTGATAATAGTTATGAGAAAAATTTTCACGATCGTTCTGTTTTAAATAATTTGATGTTTAATATAATAATTTAATATAATATAATATAAAGGAAAAACATAATTGTAATCGGTTTTTTACATGGTACATCTAATGATATTTTGAATTCAAATAGAGTATTAAATTTGACGTAAAAAGCTGTGACTCAAAGTAGGATCTACAATGGATGTTTATTGAAGTATTTTTAAGTTAACCTTAAAACTACTGAGTATACCCGAATATTCGTTACAGTGGACAAAAATGGACAATGTTTATTGTATGAAAAAATAAATTAATCAAACACAAACACGTTCGCGATCATAGTCAAAGAAATACCCTCACTTTGGACTGTGCCTTTCTTGCAATTGTTTCACGTGATATGTTGTTCATATCTTTTTTCACATTTAAAACATAGTAAATAAATCAAATAAAGCATTTTACATAAATGTCATATGTGTGTCATATGTTGATATGACCACAATGACAATAGGGTATACCATACGCCAAATATATCTTAATATCATCATAGCAACTGTAATCAACAGCGTCATGTAATTGTATATGTGACGCTGGGTTTTCTAAACGAATCGCTGTGTCACAAATATGTGACCCATGGTTGCGAACGTGTCAAAAAATAATCAGCGAATAATTGTTTATCCACATCATTTTTTTGAAAAGAGCTCTTGACGTGAATAATTGATGAGATAAAGAATGCACTTTTCTTATCTTACATGAAACAATATACAGCTTTAAATGAAACAAACAATGTTTTCCAGGATGGCGATCTCTTTGGTATTCGATGGTCACGTACGAAACGTTGATAACTTAGGTTTGAACGTCTTCGTGACATTTACAATTGCGGCAGCAACAGAACTACCTGCTGATACGTTCCTTACAGTCGTGCTTGATAGATGGGGAAGAAGATGGCTGGCATGTGGCTCGTTGGTCATTTCCGGAATCTTCAGCATCTGGGCTTGCGCTGTTTCCAATAGTTCGTGTCTAATGCAGCTCATTATTTGATAATTTCAATTATTAGGTCTACCGGAAAGATCTGTTCAATAATGTCATTTCAAGTTTCCGAAGATCAGTCAGTCTACAGAAATGAAATGCACAAATTACTATCTATTTCGCTAGAAAGAGGTCATTATTAACCTCTTGACCTACAATAACGTATCTGATTCGTGTCCAAAATTTTAAACTGAATTTGAGAAATTTGAGTGTTATTCATTTTCTTTAAATGTAAATTAAATATTATTTTTCTATTATCAATTGTTATCTTTGGACTAAATACAGAAATAGAACAATCATAAAAATTCTTTCTTTCTCTAATAAATTATTCATAATTAAGGAATAAATCACAGGATAAGGGGTTAATGATGGGAATTATATTGTTTAGTAAATATCAATAAATTTTCTGGAAATGTATTATTTTCTTTTAGTTAACAAACGGACAAAGCTTTTCGGTAGACCTAATATTTTATTAGATGTACTACTAAATAATCACATTTTTTAAATTAATTTATAAATGGGAATGTTAGAACGACGTTTTGATTTTTTGCAAAATATTTATCATATTTTAAAGAAAGCCCTGAGACTTTTTTGGTACATCTACCAACAAAAAAGTATGAATTATCAGATTGTTCTGTAAATGCCATTTGCATAGAATCACAATTTAAAAGATTCATTTGAAAATTCAGAAATTAAGTAGGTCCTCTAAGGAAATCAAAGTGATCTAGACATTATTTACTGAAAAGATTTTATGTTGTTACAAAACCGTTTGAAAACTACTTAACTTATTCAAAATGCTTTTCATGGGACAGTTATTTACTACATGTCATACCCTATATGTAGGCTCAGTAAATTTTGTTCGTTACTAAAATTAATTACAAATTTATATATTAAACAGTAGTAGCTCATATTAAATATCATCAAAAAATATTGATAATTACAAAAGTTATAGCAAAATTCATAGTTCACCACATTTTTCTGTAATGTTACAAAATATTGTCGGCCGTCAATGAAAATTCTCTTACCTCACTATCAGCCGATTAAGTGTTACAACGATATGTTTCAGAACAGTTGATCAAATCACTGTTCCAAGTTTTTGGTTGCTTTTAAGATCGTAATTCTATTTCTATACAGTCAAACGATTAAGGTAACGTTACTGTATTAAGGTTACAATTTGACAAATATTGAATTTCATAAACATTACTTACTAAAATTTTACGTTGATTTTGATTGATGCAGTTATACGTATCCTAATATTCTACTCTTTAAGTTCTAATTTTCAAAAAACTATACTATACGAACAAACAGCTACTTTTCTATGAGCAATAGAATAAAGTGTACAATAAATGTCCGTAAATCTAGTATTAATAATAATCAATTGTTGAGAGATTTTGTATTGTTGTTTTTTTTTAGATATATATTCAGCTACGTTAGCTATTCTGGGCCGATTTTGGATAAATATATCCTATAATATTGGACTTCAGTATGCGGCGGAAGTGTTACCCACTGTTGTTAGAGCACAGGGTGTAGCCTTGATACATATAATGGGATACGTCGCGAGCATTTTGGCTCCCTTCGTCGTATACCTCGATGTGGTTTCATCGATTTTGCCTCTTCTACTATTAGGCATTATTGGAATCGCTGGAGGTCTTTTGACTCTGTTCCTACCGGAAACTCTGGACAAGGATCTTCCGCAAACGTTACAAGATGGCGAGAACTTCGGTAAAAATCAGAAGATGTGGGACTTCCCCTGTTTCTCGAGGTAATTATGAAAATCACCATTTATCTTTTCTATTTCTACAAATGGCCTAATTTAAAGGTCTATCTATTCTTCTTGTGGGAAGTATGAAAATTAAATGGAATACACTTCACCATAGTGATATTTCAAGTTTTGCGTAATTTTTTTAAATATCAAATATTTATCAAATATTTACAACTAATACGATGAATAGATTATATTAGCATTCAGCACAATAAAATCTATATCTAATTTATAATTATCAATAATATATAAAAACCAACATGGAAACAATAACACCACATCAATTACATAGAAATTGTATTTCTTCCAGGAAATCGGAAGCGGAGGAAACGCCACCGACCTTTAAAACCTTTTCTCGAGGTAGCGTGAGGAACTCGATGAGGGCTTCCCTTCGTGGCGAAACCTTGAGGAGCAGCATGATACGAAGATCGAGCGTTAGGTCGAGGGCGGAGAGCGCCAACCCAGGCACGGAAGTGGAAAGATTATAGCGAGACGTCCGCAGTGACGTCTCCGTCACTATGATCCCGATCAAGAGATCGGTTACCTTCGAAAGTCGTTTGGGACCATCGTCGTCAGAATTATCAACGCGTGAACAACTTGTGTGATCGTAGCTGACAACGTATAGATAAAATTGTGACTAGCCAGCAGATCTTTATGCAAAATCGAAAGGACACTGGGCATTTTTACACAAGGTGTCCCAGGTTTAAAATGACAAACTTTCTCATTATATTTTATGGGTCTGAATAAGAGACAAAAGTTGTGGGTTGTTCGTTGTTTCAAAAGTGATAAAAGTTTAACTTTTATAGAATTATAAGATATTAATGATTTATTCACTGAAATGAAGCGAAATGTAAGTAAATTTTGCATAATAAATTCCGTTTTGATATTAAATATTAGAGTGTCGTTAACAGTCTAATCTTAGCACCATGACATTTAGAGTGTTAACGGATATTAAATATTAGTTGCAGTTATGAATTTAATAGTAAAATTAATATTAATTGTAATAGTTTCCTTGGAATTCAGTATTTTTGTTTGTAACTTTGACTAAACCTATAAACAATCCATGTTTATGCAACATTTTTTTCTTATTCAGGTGTATAGAATATTAACAAAGTTTGGTGTCTTAAACTTGAGATATCCTTTAATATGATTTCGAACATGGGCAACAAGTGAAATTTTGTATTGTTGTTAGTAGTCTTCAATATATGATAATACCGTATAGAACCTTATAAAATATGGGGTAAGTCCCTTGTTAATGTCTTTAGTCGTTATAACGATTAACAAGAATAAATTGTGTAGTAAAAGAGGAGCCAGGTATTATTTATATTTAAATATTATTAATTTATTTAAGAAACATATTTTTTATAGAAATAAAAATTTGAATCTTATATACCGTATAAATAATCACGCTACAAAGAAGAAACGCAGAAATTAATTAAAAATAAACAAAATACATTTCTACAAATTCCCGATATTCAATTATGCTTAGAATACAGATTTCAAGTTAATGATTATAATTTTATTTGTGTTCGCTCATGGTCGAAAATGCCCATTCTCCTTTCATGAAATAATTCCAAAAAAAGGGTTAAAAACAAATTGATCTTTTTTCTTAAGAATTTTAATAAACTGGAAATAAATTAACAGGGTTTTATATTCTTATGAACATTTTTTTACTTTATTTTCTGTGCACTCATATTTGATATAAATCCATGAGATCCGCTGTCTATTTATGACACATCTAATTTGATTCTGTGCTACGATTCAATAGAAGCATTGAAAATATTAATTCTTTTGATTCTTTACTCCACTCTTTATGGCTAGCGTAGACAGAAGATGAATTGTAGGTGATAATTTTCTTGTACAAAGCCATATATATGATAGTCAAAACTTTCCAGTGTTTATTTAATATTAAATTATTAAATATGATATTTACTTATATTGAATTAGGTAGCCCATACACATGGACTTCATATTATATCTAAATATTTAATATACATATTAAAAGCGCGAAAATGTCGGAAGCTAGACAGTATTGATTATATTGTAATTATTAACCCCAGCAAATATTATGGCATTTCGATATTCTTATTATACTTATGACTTAATAAATCATTATCTCGAAATGCGTAATATTTTCTGGGGCACCATAATATTATATTGCCTTAAAAATCACGATTCTCAATAATAATACATTAACTACAGATTCAATTTATAAAAAATACTTTTTACGTAAACTTTCATGTAAGCTAATTTTCATATTCTTCAAATGTTAAGTATAAGAAAAATTTCTGAGCACTTACATTTTTTTTACAAAACGATACAGATTTGGAGGAAATTTATGCCTATTTCATGAAATAGAAAATTTTTCCTAAGATATGCTCTCATGTTCTGTTACATGTAGTGTCTCTTTAATATTGATCTTATATTGATCAGGTAATTAAATCTTTGCATGTACAACAAATCATAAGGAAAAATACAGGTTTTGCCTCACAGGCTTTTATTTATTCCTTTAATTCAGGCTCACAAGCACAGGAAATTTTGAGAATTTATTATATACAGAAAATGACGCAGTGCTTGTACATATATAAATAAGAGTATATGGTTTATACAGAGAAATAATTTGCGTAATAATGAGGTGCGGCTAGCCGCTATTTTAAAATCTAAGGTAATTAAGGAAATCTATTGTAAATTTGTGAACCGTTTCGATCGAACATAACCGTCGTGTTCAACTAACAAGGAAAGGTAACGAACTTGGAAATTCAAAAAATCATGAAAAATTATGAATTTTCACATCAATCATCTTCAAAATCGAAATTTTGAGAAATTGTATTTTGCAATTTTATACACGTAAAAGAGCAATGTATTTTTTCTTTAAACTTTCTTAGTTATCTCATTGTTTTCAAAATAATCCAAGAAAGAAACATTTGTCATTCTTTCAAGGAGTGGTGTCACTCCTTTAAAATCAGCACGAAAAAAATTGCAATGTATTAGGTTTGACTTACTCTATTTACACAAGAAATTTCATAATTTTTTGAATTTTTGAGTTCGATACCTTTCTTTTTAAGTTGACATAGTTCCACAGATTCTGTATGCATGTATACATGTAAAAATGTATTATATTGGTTAACATTAGTAGCCCTTCGGATTTTATTAGACATAAGTATTACGCGAAATAGAATTTTTCATGTTATTGTAAGTAATTCGCGACTACTTTTGTAATAAAAGCCACGAAAACCATTAAAGCAGTTCGAAATTTTTCAATCATTTGTCCTTTGCTAGAGACGCATACAAATGAGGATCATCTTTAGGTCGGATGACGCGCTTTTTTGACGTACTGATATCTTCTTATCATATATAATTCCTATTCATGAAACATTAACGGAACGTCTCGATTGAATATACATACTTACTTACGACCACATCGCACCACTTTTAAATTTTACGTCGACATATCAGGCATACATGCACGTGAAACAAATTACTTATAATGTATTGACTGCCGCGATGGTGATTGACCTTGTTAAATTTTTTGAGAATAATTGTGATGATGTAAACGCTATCTAAAACAAATTCTTTAACAACGTTAATAATCAATTTACCAGTTTGAATTAAAGTGTGCACTATTGGATAATTAATAATAGTTATTTAACTAATAATTTTAATTTAACTAATAATTTTAATTTTTGTCATTTAAATTATACTATTAAGTCTTTTCATAATATAAAAAATTAAGTAGATATTTAGATGACTGTTTCTTATAAAATTAAATTATTTAATAATGTTTCTTATTTCTATTCAGGTTGTAATGTTTGCTAAGTTCTTAATTTGCACATTCGAGTAACAATTTAAATAATTAAACGACTGCTTGATTATAAAATAAAGTTGAAGAAGTTAAATAAAATAATTATGTATAGACATTATAATATTAAATAACAATCAATTATGTATTATTTCAAATCAACAAGTTTCAAAGGGTCAAGCTACGTTGTTTATCCCATATATTTTTCAATTTTTCGTAGATCCTTTTGTAACATTGTTTGAGTTTTCTTGTAATCCTGAATGAAATCATGAAGGTTCAGGATTCGAAGTCCAGTTTATTTAAAGGCAGTGACGACTCGTGAATTTTTACATTTAGTGTGCTATATATTACTCACATGCTCAAGTAAGTAATCACAAACTTTAAATTATTAAATCGGTTCAACGTACTTTTGTTGGTTGTCAACATATTAATAACTTTGACGTTGAAATCTTTGTTGCTCGAAACTAAAAATAAAGGTTAATATATCAGCAATTTCAAAAATATTTCAGGTATAACAATTTAACCTTCTGTGTTCAGTACATTCCTTTGTTGAAACTGCCAATTAATTGAAACGAATTTACAGGCTGGTGGCGAAAATTGAAAATAAAATTTAACAAATATAAATGTCTCTTAATTCTTTCAACTCTAAATTAAATATTATCTTTCTACTATCGATTATAATACTTTAGAATAAATGCAGATATAGAATGAGCGTGGACATTTTCATTTTTCTAACGAATTATGAACAATAAAATAGTTCTGTCAGGAGCAGTTGTTGCGAATGAATACACGTTGTGAGAATGGCACTATATTGAGTGGTTATACCTGGTGTTAATGACTAAATTGGTTGTTACATTTGTTCGTGTTAAGTACCGTTTGTAGGGATTACAAAAAGATTTGATCGTACGACAATGAGTGTAATTAATATCACCGCTTTACACCAATACATATGCAAATGAGACGTCTGAAATGTTCATGTTATGTCTGTGGTGTTCATACTCGGCTCACGTAATGTTGGAGATTTGGTCGATGGTCGATGTTACAATCTAAATGTTAATATTCTAAACGATATTTATTGGTATATTAGGCACCAAAAAAGTATATTTAATAAATTGTTCACTTCTACAGATGGAAAGTTAAGAATTTATTTACATATGTTTCAATACGACTATTTCAGTAGCAATGTAATAGGTTTTTCTTTCAATTTTTATTTAATAATTTGATTGTCAATCTATAAGGAATGAAATTTCTACAGTGGTAAAATAATGTTTTAATAGAATTCTTAGAGTAGAAAATAAGTGTTATAAAACACATCAAATAAACAGACAACACATAAAAGAAGAAAGTGTAAAACCTTTAAGATGGTCTTTTTTCAATATCCTCTATTTATTTTATTTCTTTATTATTTATTTGTCTTTTTATATACTTTTGAAGAAAACTGCCTTTTCTTACATATACATATGTATACAGTATCAATATGTATATTGAACGTTCTACCTGGTGTTCAATTGTTTATAAAAAATATTAACGAAATTTACTTCATTACCAGAAACACTGTTTGCAAGTAAAATGATAATAATGCTTTATTTACGGGTAGATACTATTTTTGCAAATACATAGAAATATTATTGCAAACATAATAAAATATACATTTCGATTTTTCTACAAAATTAAGAAACATAAAGAACAATAAAGATATAAATAGGTCCACTCAAAGCAGAACATTGTAACAACAATATTATGAAAACTTTTAACCTAAATAACAATAAAATGTTCGAGAAAGATATTTAATTTACTGGTACAAGTAACTAGTTTGTAGTAAGACTTAAGTTGTAAACGTCGATGAAAGTATTACCTAGTTTATGATCCTTGGACGTTGTACTATTTTGCGACAACGTAATGCAAAGCCTGTAGATTCCAATTGCAGTAGTTTGTTATTGCAATATTTCGTTTTTAAAATACTGACATTTGAAATATTGTCAAACGCTCGTATTATTCAATATAAATCCATTAATAGGTCTGTTTGTGACTTACTGTTTTCACTTCTTATAAATATCAATACGTGTGTGTTGGATAAATGAGTAGCTCAGAATAATAGTGATCTAACTACTATTCCTGAGTTCTTGAGAAAAAACAGCTTTTGTAAAATGTTATTACATTAATTAAATACTAATATTACAATTAGGAATAACAATATATAATAAACTGTTTATACACACATTGTTAAACATAGCGATTAATAATATTGATAATTAATAATAATCAATATATTACTATTGAATTAACCCATGGGCAGTTCACAAAAGCTTCTTTGTTTCAAGAACTCAGAAATAGAAGTTAGATCATTATTATTTTGACCTACTCAAATATTAAAAGCTGATTACCTTGAAAATCAAGTTTCTTACAAGAAAATTTTATTCTACATTTCTGATTTATTTTTACATACAGATTCACTTGATACCTGATTTTACTACGATTTCGGAAACACTCTATATCATTTTGAATAAAATATCTGCATGCTTAATTTTATTGTTAAATATACGTAATTAGTGATTTTAGAGTTCTGAAAACTTGAAGAATGTATATTTAACAATAAAATTAAGCATGCAGGTATTTTATTCAAAGTTATATAGAGTATATATTATTAGTTATTCATATAACGCAAAATAGCATTACGAATCATTAATTTTATCCAGTTACAAAATTATTTATAGACACGGAACAATGTAACTGAATATCCACGTTGCGCGTCAATGTCACAGGTATCAGAAGCAGAGTGAGATTGTAGACAGTAAAGACTTGTTGAAACAGTACTAAGCTTGGAAACGAGTTTATAACTGTTCCTGTGTGTCCTTATTAATATCGATGGTCATTAAACTATTATCACCATTCAGGAATATCGTGATTTTAATATAAAATCGAATTCGAAGTATTGCCCGGTATGTAATCTTTTTCTTCTTCTCATTCATTCATATATTTGTATTAAGTTATTAACATTGTTCGGTGCGTTATCAAAACAGAGTGTTATTTCTTGTTCTGATCACAGAAAAGAATAAGTAAAACATTATGCTCCTCAACATTTATTTTTAAATGAGACGAAAACTTGTAATTGTGGATTAGTTCGAAAAACACATTCTTATCACACTTTCTTCTGATAGTGTTCTGTGAATGAGTAAATATACAAATAATTAAAAAATAAAGAAATTTAATTGACAAAATAACTGCAAAGTATGAGCTTATTGGTATGAGTAAATCTTATCGTGCAAAACCGTCTCCTCCTTTTTGCTTCTTTTGTTATTATTATGTATCGATTTTCATAATAAAAAATATATTTTACAATAAATTTCTTGCGAAAAATCATTAATTCGATTATTAGAAGGATTAGATGGTGATCAACAAGCACATGTCTCCCGAAGTATCGATCCAGGTCAATTCAGATCCATGTTTATCAGAATTTTGCCGTGTAACTAGTGTAAATTCAAATGCAGCAGTTGTTAATAGTTAAAATATGTGTCAATTATTGACTTAATTAACTCAAATCTCTCCGTTTATTTATATTCTTTTGCAACATGAATTTTAGTATTTTAAATATGAATTATTATAAGCGAAAGAGTCATACAAATGATAAAGTAATCAAAGCCATAATCTTCTATAGTATTGCTGAAGAATCAAGCGAATTTTGTACGATTAACATTTTTCAAGCGGGATACTGTGACTACTAGATTGCGGATTTATCAAACAAATATAATAAAAATCACTGCACTTTGCTTTTATCTATGTATCTAAATTTTATAGCTTCAAATTTCTTCTAAACGCATAAACATTCAATGTCTAAGATCACAGTCCGAACTCAAATAAACATTAAACCCAGATAACTGTAATTTTACAATCACTTGCGTTTCAGTTTTGAAATACCAATCAATAGAAAAATGAATTGTTTCAATGTTATAAAAATAATAAATGAACATATATGTGTTCAGCCAATCTCCAATTACAAAATTACGTTTCCTCGAAACAATAACATCATAAATCATTCATTCGATTTACGTACGGAAGAACTGGATTCGACCGTTGCACATTCAAAAACACGGAAAATGGTGCCTGCCTACAGAACATCTCAGAGAAAGATTCATGAAAGGGGAAGCGAACCCGACTCAACCAATCGAAGTGAAATTGATCGGAACGGTGGCATTGGTGAGCACGTGTCCTCGCGGATTGCGATACGAGAAGCGTGCGAAATCACTCGTGGTCCGTCGCGTTGCGTCGGCTAGCCGGAGGACGCTCTCTTTCTCCCGTTCTGTATTTGCAAACACGTGTCATTGTGTATCCGTATTCGAAGCGAGCTTCTTATATTAGCGATACATGAGCCGGTTTCCCCTTCATATTTACGCAAGGTCTTGCAATTGTCAGCATCGGCGTCAGGCAGCGCGCGTTCTCCGGAGATTTCTCTCCAATAATCTGCCTAATTGCGAATCCGCTAATATTGGAATTGACAGGGGAAGGCGAGGACGCTTTCGGTTCAGCGATAAGAAAGTATTCGATAAGGAACTTGAATCAAACGGCGAACACGCTAATTGGCGGAGCAAATCAACGTTAACTCGCGGCGCCGCAATTCCCCGTGGGGGCTATTTTTCTTAGCCACCGTAGAAAAGTAACTTCGACGTGATGGTGAATGTTTTGTCATTCGTTACATAATTGAGTGTCAACCGTGTTCGGAATACTACCCAGAGACACCACTGGTGTCTAATTAATCATCGCCACTTGTCGGGGAAGCTCAAGGGACTAAGCTGAGGGACCATTCGAAGATTCGCCTGTGATCCCATATCACCAATCACGTGAGGTTAAATGATTTGTTTTTAACCAGTTAACTGTGTTCGATCAGTGTTCACGTCATCTTGAAACACTAAATGGTATTAACTTTTTCAGCGAATGTTTATTTCTTTAGATGAACATGTAATTCTTCGTTTTGCTTTTGCCTTTTGTTAGAATGTGTAATATTTGCCCAGCAGTTGATGAATATTTCATTGTTTCACTTGAAACTAAGTTCCACAGTTAATAGGTTAAACGTTCTGCTGCTCTTTGCCTTCATAACCGGCGACGCGGTACTATCTTTCTGAGAAGTGTGTAAAGAAATTCTTTATTTACGCGGCACGGCTGAAAAGTAATGAACTTTCACCTATATCTCGAGAACGAGCGCGGCTATCAAAATGAGACAATGGGAAAAGAAAGTACGAATCATTGGCTATAGAATTCAAGTTTATTTTTCTACGTAGTCGCCATTGCGTATAATACATTTTTGCTAACTTCTTCGTTGTCTGATTTGAAATGAATATTTTTCACTGAAATCTTCAATTCTCGGAAACATGAAAGTTTTAAAGAGTTAGCAATGGTATTTTGTCGACGTCATGACTATATCGAACTTTATTTTAAATTCAGGGCCGTTCAGTAGGCCATCCTTTTCGCGGGCTAAAATCAGTATCGGTGTGAGCGCAGAGAGTAGTGGGAGCAAACTCATGCACAGCTCTCCGTGGAGTGAGAGAAATAGACTCGGTTGGGATAGGTTCGTGTCGTTTTTTTTTAGATTTCTCTTGAATAGTAGTATTCTAGTGCCTGTTGGACGAGTTTCTTATGCCTGTACAAAACTTGAGAGGTATTCTTATAATTTTAATTCTTTCGTTCCTCAACATATATTTTTGTCCCTAAATCAAAGAAGGTCAAGAACAGTTGCTTCCTAGTGAAATTGAAGCTTTTCAATGAATGAAATAAGATAAGCACTAATAATAATAATAATTAGCACTTATGCTTGCAGCCATAAGCAAAGATCCCCGTGTGGTAAAATTTTCCTTTATCTTTAACCCCTTGTTCTACAACATTGTGTCAAACTCATGATGAAGATTACAAATAGAATTTTACAAACATAAATATTATTCAATTTATTTGAATGCAAATTACGTACTATTCCACGGTTTATACACATACTATTGTATGTGTATAAACAGGATAAAATTGGAATTTTTTCTTACTTTCACTAAATTATTAATAATAAAGTAGTTAGATCGTTTACAGTCCAGAAAGAAATAGGGCAAGGGGTTAAGGCGTTTTCTAGCTTCCCAGTAATTTAAAATATTCGTAGTATTTATCTGTACCATTCGGGCCGAAAGGGTTAAATGATTTGTGTCATTGTTTGTGCAATGTATGTTCTATGTGGTAAGCATAGGAAAAGTTTCAAAAAGCCTATGTTCTTGTGGCTTGTATCGCGCGCTTGGCCGCGTGTGGCAAAGCACTCACTACTACACATTAGGTAGTTCCACGCACAAACCAGTTGCTCATTGACACGATATTAGACACAACATATAAGCGTGGTCTACGATATATAAGCATGGCACGCGCGGGTCACTTGCTCAATGATCCTTAATTTAGAGACTAAATGATACTGTTTGTGACTGTATCAAGCAAAGTTATTGATATTCGGCGTTATTGATAAAGGAGAGATGTATGTAGCTTCAAGTTGAGTCATCGTGCAGGCTCGTATCTTATTTTGATCTTGAGATATAGGCGGAAGTTCATTAGTTTTTAGTCAACCATCGTATAAACGAGGGGGGTTGGTCGTGAACTTTTATGGGCTTGTAAACAATGATATCTTTATTTAATAATTCCAAGCTAGAAGGTTCAATGATATGTGACCATTATGTTGGAATGTTAAAAAGTTTTTTTATTAACTGAAATAATGAGTGTTGTTGATGATATATGAAAATGTTATTACCTACTTTGGTTTCCTTCAAAGAGATCGGTGTTTTGTTTACATGAAAATATCAATTTCATGATAGTTTGGTGTAATAGAAATTGGAGGAAATATTGTTTACATACGCCACCACCTAGGAAGTTCAGATTACTGAACGTGACCTCGTTTTAACTTTTATCATAGTCGAAAATGGTCGTTTTTGTAGGTATCGTAACGTCAGGGAAAGAATTTACATATAATTCATAGTAAAAATAACTTGCATTTTGAATTGATATTAATTAAATAAGCATTGTAGTACTTGTATGGTAACATTGACTTACATATTAATTAAATTATAAATATAGATGGTCATACTATCAACGGTTGAATATAATAAATATATACCTATAGGAATAAATTAATGTTAGATTGTGATAGTGTAAATCAAGATAAACTATGTTTATTTTTTCTATTGTAGTTATACATTGTGTATTCTTAAAGCAATAATAATAACGAATCAATGTTTGTCATTAGAATATAAAACTCGTATAGTTCAATACACTAATGCTATTATTTAAATGATATGCATAATAGTTACTTACTTCGTCCCATTTTACTTTCTCTATTATTCAATTGTTATTTAATCATCTATAATCGTCATTATTGAATAATAATTCAGTTTTACTTTATACTCCTTGTTCTTTCTTTCCTTATAACTTACCACCACTTTATTCTAATACAACTTGTATTATTATTACGATTTCATTATTTCTTGTCCTCTTGTTTTAATATAATGAATTGACTTCTCTACGAAAGTTTTAATTAATCAAGGCATCTAATTACTCGTACCATATGTATACGACAATATGACAATATTGTTCCTATCCTATGAACAACAACATGAATATCATACATTTTTAAGAAGTAATTCTCGATATCATGGCTATTAATCCATCAGGGGTTACATGAAAAATACAACAGGGTGTTAATTATGATTGACATTTGTAATATTACTAATTTGTTTTTAATTAGTAATTGCGATTATGATTATTACCACAAAATTACGATCCTTCTACATCTTGTACGTATATTGTACGTACCATTGATAAATGGTTTTTCTTTCAGAGCCTGTTTCTATTTCATATTTCAACATTGATAGTGACGACATCATTATTATCAAAGACTTGAATAAGTGGCGTATACATATACAAAATGAGTGTTAAGGGAGAGTAAGTATTTATTATAAAAATAACTGGTTTTACAGAATATTGTAAGGAAAAGAGAGGGACTAAGCAGAGCTGAGACAAAAGGGTAGAATAAAAGGGTAACTAGTAAAAAAGGTTTAGAGAAATAGTAAAGGTTCTTTTATAAACGATATCATTAATATCGTTTCTTTGCTTGATCGAAGCCAGAACTCAAAAAGCTTAATCTTTGAAATATTGCTGTAAATATGTTACAAAGACGTTTCTTGGACGATGTTGAAAATTTACTTACTTACGTGCATAATTTGACTAATAGAGAGCAATTACGTTATTATCCTTAATACTAAAAGTACCACGATCGATTAAATGACCGGTTTTAAAAATTGATTAAAAATTTTGCGTTTCGTTTCTATTTAACTTTCCACCAATCCCTACATTGTCATTGTACGAACTGTCTTTAAAAAGTTAACTAGTGCTTGCACTTGCATTAGCTATTTCAATTTTTGAAACGTAGTGCAATATAGAATATTGCAAAAATAAAGTATTAAAAGTTATATAAAAGATACGTCAAAAATTTCATTTCAATTCAATGTGTATAAATAAAGTACACTGAACTTTATTTGGGTTGTTTCATTTTCATATTTAAGTACGGTGACCTGAGATATGTTAATATAAAATTGCCGGTCAGCAATGTGTTAACTGTCCTTGTAGTGAATGACGTGAAAAATGATTAGTGAAAGTGTGTAACATTTTTCACGTTCATAAATGTTATTTACGTAATAATATATATGTTCTTATGTTAATCTGATAAATATATAATTAGAGTTGTATTCCAGCAAGGGAGTGATAATGTGTACGCCGTCTCGAAAGTCTGTTGCTGCAAGCATTGTCCTGTTATGCTCGATCGATATACCATAGCAGTTTGTATCGACAATAGTTCGGTCAGAAGGCTCGTGTCTCGTTTACAACTGAATTTTAACGAGTCACGTGTCATATATCACTTGATCCAGACAATTTAATTGGTTGGCACTGGAAACGAACGGTTATAGCTACTTTATCGGTTAAGAAGATCGAAAATGAAGCGAGAGCGGTGGGGCGTTGGACTTTGTTTGTCTATTCAGTTAATTCTGATCATTTGAATTCGTAGCCGCCACGCAAGTACGTTTCTTAGAGACACAATAGCCGTTTGCGGTCGTTCGGTCGATGAAGAATGGGTGTTAGGTGAGACTGTAGTGATCTTATTCGCGGAAATAACTTGTGTTGGACTTTATCAGTTTTATGAGCCCATTGACTATTATGGTGTTAGCTGGTGATCAGTGGAAAAATTGAAGGAGAAATAGGGTAACATTTTATCTATCGCTCTTGATCGAGGCAACCCCTTGGCAGTTAACAATATAGTTTTCGTTAAGGCGTAGAAGTATGTTTTTACTTGAAAAGTTCTGTAATTTTAAAATCAAAGTATAAGGGAATCTCGTTTTACCAGCCTGATTTTTTTGTTTTAAAGTAGAGTAGCTTTAATAGATTATAATAATAGAACATAATTCTGTATGTGTATTAACATGTTTGAAAGACATATGTATAGCTACAAATGAGTTCTGTGTAATTAAGCCAGGTTAGTCACCACCTAACCAGCTACCACCCCTAAGAAGGTAAAGGGAGAATAAATTTTTATCACATCGGCAACATTAAATAATTTTAACTTATTCTTAAAACATTTAAAACATTTGTTGCTACAAGGAATACAGAAGAGCAAAGAAATGTGCATAGGTCGAATTATAATATTGAAAAATCAAAGTTTAGGTGTTTCTTAACTTGAACAATTGTCTCAACTTAATACTGTTGTATCTTGATGCTTTTTTATAAAAAATGCAATATTCGTTTACGGAAATATATCTTCAATTTAAAATAGTACGTTTTAAAACGTTTTAGGACGTACTTTTTTAGATATTTCAGAACCATTTCATTCTATCTAATGCAAATTTTTCTATTTTATAGATGATCTATTTCATGAAATTTTGAAACTTTAACCCTTTCTACTCCTCTGTGACTTTAAAGTCACATACCAATATATTGGCATCTTGTTGATTTAATTAATTTTGTACCACAAGGTAGCGAATGATATTAAATAATTAATTACTTTAAACTTTTATAGACATAGACGTAAACGTTCCACGTGTTGTAACTTCAGAGTCACAAAATATATTTGTTCCAATAAAATGATTAAAAATATTGAATAAATAGTTAACTTGTATTTACAGGTTGATATTTATTAATTTCACACTACATACATACAAAAAATTTGGCCGATGAAGGGTTAACTTGATTACGTAGAAAATCCTAAATACGCTATATACATACATATCATTGGAAATATATCATAATATATTTTAACGTGTTTTCTTGATAGCGAAAAGTTTGGCGAAAAACGATTATAATTATTTATCGAAAGAGGAAGAAGGAAATATGAACTTGTATCGTTCAGAAAGAATTTTACTCTTAACACTAAAGCACCGGCACTTTAGCTACTGATCATATTTGTACGAAAGGAAATAAGAAAAATATTATATATATTTTCATTTGTTTTTAACAAGATGTATTTAAACAACTAAAGATGCATTTTTCAATTTGCAAGTATCGATCATTTAACCGGTTGTGGTATGTTTTGTGTTAAAAGCTTGATGCATTTTTTGGTAATCTTTACAGAACATTTCGGTGCTGTTTCAGAGAAATGAAGAACGCAAAAAATTTAAACAACTCGATAGCACCTACAGAGAGGACTGCTCTGAGGCCGAAATTGGAAACGTTCGACGACGTTTTACCATACGTCGGCGATTTTGGCAGATATCAGTGGCTGCTTTTATTGTCATTGCTTCCCCATGGCGTTACTTACGCGTTTCTGTATTTCTTGCAATTCTTCGTAACTCTTATCCCTCCGGAACACTGGTGTAAAATGGACGAGTTGATGGGCAAAAATTTCACTCAGGAAGATAGGTATGTTGTGATTAAATTTAATTAATCAAAAGACTTAAGAAAGAAGAAGGGTAAAATGTGTTACGAAAATTTGTGTTACTATCATATGTTTTTAAAAAAAATTAATTATTAATTACTAGTATGCGATTACTAGTTTTAAATTAGAAGGTTTTATTGAAAGATACTATTTTTAAAAGGACGGGTTATATTTTATTTTTTCTACGATAATTCGAATAGCTTCTCTTAATGTAGAGTGTCACATTTTAATCATGTTCACTTTCTCCCCTTATCATTTATCTTCTCTTGGTGATAGAAGAAAAGGTGGTAATGTGGACCCCTCGTGATTTTCCATGTTATAACAACAAGATCTGATAGTTAACACTAGGTTTACGGGCATTTATTGTACAGTTTATTTTATTGTTCTTGGGGAAGTTGATATTCGTTCATTTAGATTTTGGAAATTGTAGATATAGAAATAGATAATCAGGATTCATATTCGTGTAATTGGATCAATGAAAAACGATTGAAACATTTACCAAATAATGTTTATAAAATTCAATCTGCGTCAAATTGACGCGTTCTGTAAACCTAGTGTTAATGGTGCCCTCAGTTACATCTATTAGAATTATGTATGGGTAAACAAATTTAAACTACATAATGCATTATATCTGTTAATAAAGACCGTAATTAATATGACCTCAGAATGAAAGTTGTATGTCATTCGTGAAAAGAAATATTTCCTGCAAATTATGTAAGTTAAAGAATCGTTTGTTGGAATATATTTTATACGAAGTTTGTAGAATCGGTATTTTTCTAAGTGAAATTGGTTTACTATCGATACTTTCAAATATAAAATAAAAAGTTTTATTATTGCATGGAAAATAAATATAATGAAATTTCTGTATATACATTTTGCTTCATTTGTGTACTTGTAATCTGAGAATGCTACTAAAATTGAATTTTTTATCATTTTTGCTAAGAGGTTACATTACTCTCACATTTTTAAGATTTCTAAAAATAACTTATCTCCGTAATACATAATAAATTTGATTAAATACTGTTCCAATCATTTTCACCTTTTGTCACAAGTAATTTTATTAGCTCACCTACATTTCACGCAAAAATTTGAAGCAATTTCAATTATGAATAAAATTGTAGGGAGAAATATAAAACTAGGTGCCAAATTACCACCTTCTCCTCTATTTAATTTTTTCAGGAAACGAATACCGCAATAAAAACATTTTAAATATGAATATTCATTTTCAATGTATTCAGGGTGCAAATAGCAATTCCACCGTCGAATGAGTATCCTTATTACGACCAGTGTCATCGCAAAGACTTAAACTTCGCGGAGATTTTGAAGTCCGGCGAGGATCTTCATTCCTATCAATTTTGGAACAACCAGACTGTTGAATGTACTAGCTGGGAATACAATTACACTCAGATTCCATATGCCAGCATTGGTACTGAGGTGATGTATCGTTTAAATACTTATTATTTCGAGATTTAATTTATTCTGGTTAAAAAGTAGTGATCTAACAATAGAAGTAATTACCAACTAGTTAAATTGACTTTAAGTTTACGATGTAAAATAGCTAATATAAAATTATATCTGAAAAGCAGATGTAAAATAAGAAAATAAGAACATTTACTTGCTTCTGTGATCAGTTTGGCGATTATTATAATTAATCATTTTGCTTCTGACGAGTGTCTTATAATATATATAAGGTACTCTATTTTAATTTATAAACGTGATAATTCGAAAAATAGTAGTGATCTTCACACCTCCTAAACTCTTTCCTCTAGAGGCAAATTAAATGTACTCTTTTACTATGCTCTTAAAATAGAAGAAATTGTATTTGAAGAATTTTTTAAATAACAAATAGTAGTTGCATTTATAAATTAAAATCCGACAATAAAAAAAATCGGAAGAAAACACGATACACACTATCGATTAACTCTCGATCTACTCTTGGTTCCATCAAATATTACTTTGAGTGCTGTAGACGCATATAAGGTAATGGTACCTAATATGGAACACCTGATTTGAAAAGCGTGCCAAAACGAGAAACATGCATTTTTTTAATGAAACCTGCGTCAAAACACGAACAAATTAATGAATATTCATACACTGGTAAAAATTTGAATGCTCTCAAACCACGGTAAACAATGTAAATAAAGTCAAAAATAGTAATCTGAAAAATGGCATCTAATAGGAACATCTAGGTAATTTGTAAAAAAAACTCATGTTTATCACGAGAAATGAATATTTATGGAATTAAAATGGATAAATACACAAATCTTCCACTTTTTTTAACTTTTTTCTTTCTTTCTTTTATACATTAGATATATGCATAACACTTCAGGACCACTACATTTTTCATGGTCATAGTTATACACTCAGAAAAAATCAGAAGTTTTTACTTAATAGTTATCAATAAAAAAATTCCTAAAGTCTACCTAAATTTAGGGCGGCTCTAGGTGGTGTCCTCCCTTAAGGGATTAACAGAGTTCATCGGTTTTGAGACGTTACGCGAAAAACCATTCCGTCCACACGGAACGTTTCGGTAGGGGTATTCAATACTCAAAGGGATATTATTCAAGTGTTTATAATACATGCTCACACTATGAATCCTACTGCAATCTCGGTTAGATCTCATTCTGTCTTCGTTCATCGAAAACAATAAACAAAGAAGGAATATTGAACAGACTCAGAGCGGACCGATAGTGTGTATCGGGCCTAGGAATGAAGGAAAAATGAAATAGTGATCCAAAGAAAGGAATGTTTTTAATACTTCCTCTTGTCATTGACTCCTTATACTTCGTGATCAGCTAGATTGGGTATGTGAACGAGAATACCTTGTGTCAACGGCCCAGGCGATTTTCTTTTGCGGCTCCATCGTGGGTGGTTTCGTGCTCGGATGGTTAGCCGATCACAAGGGTCGCATCCCTGCGCTGATGGTCTGTAACAGCGTCGCCCTCCTCGGCTCCATCGCCACCGCGAACGCCAACAGCTTTTGGTCATTTGCCGTCTGCAGGTTCATCACTGGTTTGGCATTTGACAACTGCATCAATATTCCGCTGATAATCGGTGAGCTTGAATGAAATCGTTGGCAAATTAGTCTGCAAGTTTGACCGATAAATTCAGTAAGCGAACGGTGATTCTCGTTGCGTAAGAGATAATGGCTAAAATTAGTACGAGTTCAATGCTCACATCATGTAAATACGTTGATCGTAACTTTCGAGTCATTCGTTTTAATAACGTACTATTCCGACAAGCTGTTAATGTATTTATTCGACGATCGTTTAGGTTTCCTATAATTATACATAAGTATAATTATCTTATAATTAGTTTCTAATTATAATTATACCCTTAATTATTTTTATAGTTATAATTATACTCCTAATTACACCTTTAAAGAATAAACTCAGGTTTTTGGATACCTCCGGTAAATTTCATTTCCTTGTAAACAAAACAATTTTTTCCAAAAAGAATCGTCATTTTCTTATTTTTTAAAATCTAACGAAAAGATCTAGTCTATTCGAAGTTTGTTTACCATTCGATTTTTTAGAAATCGGTCGAAACAAATAACATAAATACATGACGGACCTAGTTCTACTCCACATTTCTCTATATATATGTATATATATATATAATATGAAAATGTTAGTTACTTAAAAAGTGCTTGCTTTATAAAATATTATCTCGAAGAACAGTGAAAAATTATACATAATTTTAAATGAATAAGCTACCCAACATCGTGGCATTTAAAATGTCTCTATTCCTTTTGTCAGTGTCCCTTTTCGAGATAACATTGTATTTTAGATTAATGTAATATTATTTATTTTCCAGTTCTGGAGTACATGGCCATCTCGAAACGTTCTGTAGTCGTTAACATAACATATGGTACATATTTTGCCGTGGCCAGTACCATTTTGCCATGGATGGCTTACTATATTGCAAACTGGAGGATTTTTGCTTACGTCACTGCCTTTCCGATGTTATTCGTGTTCATCATACCGTGGACTCTCCCTGAAAGTGCTCGGTAAACAAATTATTTAGTTTTACTAATTTTAATTATCATATTTCGAGACTGGATGGAACATAAATGACAATTTATATTTTCTTACAAGGTGGTATGTCTCTAACGGGCGAATGGACTTAGTTCTCGAGAAACTGCATAGAATCGCTAGGATAAATCGTAAGACGCCGGATCCACGTATTTTCACCGCTTTCGCAGTAAGTATACCAATCGTTATTTCAAACGATTTTAATTGAAAACTAACTTGTGCACTGATTTGCAGTTGATCATAAACTACACCGAGAATTTGTTAGGTCTATATCATGCAACACCAGCTCTTATGTTAGTTCTTATCTTACGCTCATTAAATGTCTATTCAAACGTATTAACAAAGACTACTTCCTCTTTATACTTTCTCTATCTTCTTATAATAATATCTAACAAATTTTGAACTAGTTTTAATCTTTTAATACTTCATTCGCTTGATAAGCATTAGTTTCAAAAATTATGAATTATAAAATTTATATTTGTATCATTTCCAAAAGTAGCTTCCAAAAAATTCCAGTCGACAAGTGTTGACGTTGAAGTTTCATTTTTTGGACCACGGTAGCTAACATGTTAACACTTGATAGATGTTGATTGTAGGTTTTGTTGCGCCGAATGTTAATCTATTCATTATGTTAGTTGTAAATGGTTTGCGTACTGCAATGGAATATTTTACAGATATTGAATAGTAAACAATGGTGAATGCAATTTAGTTCCTGTGCAGTTATCTGCAAGTGTTTAAATTGATTGCGGGTAACATCAACGACATTCTTTTCATGTTTTCTTTATTCTCTGTCACATTAACGTCCACCATATATTTCTAGGCACGAACCAACGATAAAAATTATAAAAGTATAACACTGTTTAGATATTGTATATTTAATTCAATAATTATTTCAGGACAATCTCGAAGTGTCAACAAGGCATCGCGAAACCGCGACGGTATTCGACCTCTTTAAGTCTCCTCGACTGGCAAGGAACACCCTCCTTTTGGCTCTATTCTGGCAAGTACATATAAAATATGATCTAAAGATAGATCGATGAATAACTGGTATTATTTTACAGGTGTTTCACCTTGATCGCATTTGATGGGCATGTATACTCGTTGAAATTGCTACAGAGTTCAGTGTTTATGTCATTTTCTCTCACATGCTTCACGGAACTTCCAGCTGGCTTGCTGTTGGCAGTGCTGTTAGATCGGTGGGGTCGCAGATTCTGTGGATTTCTTACTTTGGCGATGACTTGCCTATTCAGCATTGCTGAACTAATGCTACATTCCAGTAAGTACAGTTCGGAGGTGGTTTGATATGTAGCAGAACGGCACAAGGGCAAAAGTGACTTTCTAGTGTAGGAAGTTTTGTGTTGAGGTAGATCAATAACTTCTGCAACACCTAAAGTTAACCCTCTGTAGGGTTACTCATGTAACTTTGAAGTTACCTATCAGTATATTGGCATTTTGTTGGTTTATTTTTTTTTGCATTGAAAGTGGCGAATAAAATAAAGTAATCAGTTAACTTCAACTTTTTTACGCTCAGGCATAAAATTTTAACGTCATTGTAACTTGAAAGTTACAAAATATATTCGTTTGATGAAATTATTGAAACTATTGAATACATTCTTTGAATTCGTATTCATATGTGGATATTTATTAATTTTGTACTGCATAGATTTTGTTACAATCATGAACAAAAATTCGGCCCATAGAGGGTTAATAACAAAAAAATATAACAATAACAGTTTATTACTAACAAAGACTATAAAAAAGGAATAACAAAACAATTAACAGTACACTGACATACAATCGCTTGCTTGCTATCTCGCACAGCAAATCGCTATCAATGCTCGTTCTAAACTTTGTCGCTCAACTCCACCGCCGAACATCCACGGAGTTATATCTTTCACTCCTAATCGCTCTTTTCTTCTTTTTACTCGCACTCTGACCTTTCGTCTATAACCAAAACTTACGCAGTCATGTAGAAGCTGCGTTTTCACGCTTCATTCTCACGATCCTACCTCTCTACCCTCTCCTACTCTCATGAAAATAGCAAGAATTAGGAAATAAAATCAATAGAAAGCTTGTTAGGAAATATGAAAACTGATTAATCAGCCAAATTCCTCTAACCATCCAGTGATGTCCTTGCAGTGTATACTTGCATTTGTAAAATGCCAAGACAAATCTTGTGTACAGCTTGAAACTTCGAATCTTTTGTATACAATGAAAGTGAATAATAAAAATAGAAGGGAAATAGATATAAACGGAACTAAAACATGATAAGTGAAGTCAACAAATGTTCGGAGTGGTCGTAGAAAGTTTATTTTGTGTTTTTGTTTATATTACGTTCAATCCTTTGGAATTTTCTGATAAATCGAAGTTGAATTTTATAAATTAAAATTGAATAACAGATTATTTTGTAAACAACACAGATTTTTCGTTACTTCATGATGAGATTTTGAGCAAGCAATAAGAATTAATACAATTGTATCATTAAATGTTATGGTCGACACTGATTGAGGCGATCAATATGAGCGATTATTGAATTGTTGTTTGAGCTGAGTTCAAAGTTTCTAGGATGAACTTTTTCATTTCATTTCTAGCGGTTGCCAAACTAACGATGTCAGTGATGTCACGATTTTGTCTTAACATGGCGGCCAATATTGGCCTCCAATATGCGGTGGAATTACTGCCGACACCTGTTAGATCGCAGGGCATATCGCTGATTCACATTCTCGGCATTATTTCACGTACTTTAGCCCCATATATAAACGATTCTGTAAGTATGCACAATAGAATTCTTATTACTCGGCATTTTCGGGAACAAAGTAAAGAATTAATGAGACAGATGATAAAAACAAAAAAACAATAACTTACAGAATGACCATGGTTATAAAATAAATAAATTTTTGTTATTTCTATTATATTAGGCTAAGGTCTGGGAAGGATTCCCAATGCTGATAATCAGCACGATATCCTTTATGGGTGCTATGTCTGTTCTTTTCCTACCGGAAACACTTGGCCACAACCTACCTCAAACTATTAATCAGGGCGAAGAGTTCGGGAAAGACCAGAATTTCTGGTCGTTACCAAATCATCAAAAGACGTTCGACCAACAACGACGTTATCAATCGTGTGAACGATAAATGATCAAATTCATGTTCGGTTTTAGTAAAAAAAATAAGGAGAAGAGGAAGAACCGAGAAAAGGGTCACATTCCACCTGACAATAGATAAAATTAAAATAGATTAGTAAATATTACGCCAATTAATGCCAGTTCATGATGTTGAGATTCGAATATCGTTTGTATTCCTATTATTTTTATTTTATTCTTCTATTTTAAGAATTTATCTTTTAATGTTGTTTTTATCTGGCCATACGCAAAGCGAGGATGGCTGATAATTTTTATGTTCACATTTAGATTTTATTTTAAGTTATTATTTTAAGCAGTCTTTTAAATTCTAATACTGGCCTTTAGGAACCTCTGAATGTTGAGTAGTTGACAATGTCAACTATTGTCTGGTTCACAGTAGACAGCAATTAATCCAGTAATTTAGTATTGCATATTGTGCCATCACAGTAATTAGTGTTTCGAAAATCAATAATCTCCTTTTGGTCATCATGTTCCATACACATAAAATAAGATTGTAAGTAGGTAGTTTAAAAATTAACAGTAGTTAATGTAGTAATCGTAATCAGCGAAAATCTTAGTCATTGTTTTTTATTCACTTAATTTATTTAAGAGAAAAAATACGTATTCAACCATACGTTTTTAATGCACATAAAGTTGTATCGAGATTAGAATTTTCAGCTTTTTAATAGTCATCAAATATGTCTATACTTAACTACAAATTGTTCCTTGAAAGTATTTTTTATCGATTCTGTAATTTAGTGTCTTACACTTGCATTAATTATGAATTGAAAAATAATCGATTCAAGTAGAAGCCCTTTAAACTTTGAACAGTTTCTCCAAGTAATACATACATTTAAATAACTGTACGTGTACTTTATCATGTATGGTGAGATATATTTGTAAGAGACGATCTTCCATTTCTTTAAATAACTATGAAAAAACAACTCCTTTTGTGTATTTTTTCCTGCATTTCCATTTGCTCGGCATTAATCAACGTATGACACAGGATGAGTCATACAAAAATTATATAATATATAAAAAATATGAGCTGAGCTCCTCCCTAGCCCGGCTTCAAATTCATAATTGTCAAAAATCATTCCAGCCCATCCTGCAGAATACTTAAATATTTCTATTCAATTTCTATTTGAATACCTTCACGTGAATATTTGTGACGATATGAAATAAAAAAAAACTGGAATAGATTCTTTTACGGAATTATTAGAAGCTATAATTCAAAACTCAAAATTTCATATTCAGTCATTTTCACTTTATCTTCATAAATATAATACTAATGAATTGCTAAGATTTTCCCAATTAAAATGAGTCCAAACACTACGCAAATTAGACTAATTTTATAAATTTGAATAATTCATATATTTAATATTTTTATTTGTATTAAACTGGTAAAATTAGTTTAATTTACGTCTTGTTAACGTTCGTTTTAATCGTAAGAGTCTCAACCATCCATTAGGCTTACAATTATAAAAATAAGACTAAAATTACGAAAATTGTCGGCATTGTAGCGACTGATACTACAACGGTAAAACGGTTTTTCGCAAAATTTTATGTCTTAACTTTAAAATTGCTAAAAACCCTTCTTGTAAATATTTTCCCTATGCAAAATGAAACTATCAATATGACATCAGATTAATCAGAACATCAAAGTTTCAGAAGTTACAGGGAGTGACACCAAAATGATAAAAACACTTTTTTAGAAAATTATGTTAGGTTTTCAGAAGTTTCGCTTATGCGTGTAAATAAATCGGGAGGTATGTTACATCAGCGAAAAAAAGAATATATTTTTTATCTGTATTTATTTGTACTCTGTTGATAAGATTCTAATTAGTACCAAACGGGTAAAAGGATCACGCAAGTAAGTAACTAGCAGCTAGTAACAAACTCGATAACCCGTTACCGTTCGTTGATTAACACTTTTTAATATATTCGTGTCATCCTTATTAAGCACCACCAAGTGACCAAGTGATTTCAAAATCAATTCGATCACTCAAGAGTAGTTTCATTTAAGATGTTTTATTCAATCTTTTATCCATGAGCTAAAATATTAGTCTTCAGCGTCCTCAAGATGGCAGCAGTGCCGCCATGGATCAATCAAACTTGCCAGGGAATTGAGTGCGCACAAATTATCGCTGAATCTGATTAACCCTTAACGGTTGATAATTTTTTAGTAATACTTAATTTACCTATAAAACAGTACAATATTAATTAAAAATAGAACAAATATTGATAGCACTTTTAATACAAAAAAACGGGCGATATATCTTCAACAGCAGCAAACATAACAAATAGAAATTGAATACAAAATTACATTTTTAGCACAGTGTAAACTTTCGACTGTTATGGGTTAAATAATTTCTTCGTGCACGAGAATTTTTTGATTCACTGGTGGTGGTGCGCATGCACCTGGCTGCAGCTCAAGCACCACATGGAAAAAACGAGGCGCCGCGTAAAAGAGAAAGGGAGGGCGCTCGGCAGAGAGCCGCAGTCCAGGGGGCGGTTCGATGGCTGCTACAACCCCCGGTACTGGCGCAGCCAGTCCTGATTTTCATTTAAAATTCGCGTCCGTTCGTCTCGATGACTGTCGCTCGAATTTCGGCCCCACGATCCATAAGACCGGTTTTTACTGGAAATTTCGACGGTTGACGAGTGGAAGGTGGTACATTTGTATGCGTACGCGCACGTGTGTGTGTATGTGTGTAGGGACACCCATAAATAATGTTGTTCTGAGATGAATTGGTTTTTAAATCTGTGACAGCACTTGCTTGATGTGTGAATTTTAATGATTTTTGTAGTGTTATTGGGTTGGAAGTATTTTTTTCGTGTATTCATGGTAATTTTGATGGTTTCATTGTTAAAGGGAAGTAACATGGTGGTGGATGGGGTAGCTCATTGTGATTGGACACGTGATGCTTTATGGGGTCATTGCTACAACTCCCGACGCTTGGAGATCGAACTGTACTTCGTCCACAAGTTTTTAGAAATATTTTGTATACTTTTGGCATGTTAATTGATATTTATGTGATTCAATGAAAAGAGGGATCTGTTAGTTAAATAAATGAATAGAAGTAGCTGTGTGTTCGTAAATATGAAATTAGAAGTTGAAATATTTAATTATTATTGTTGTGAGTGTTAGTTTTTATAGACATTAGGAAATGAAGGTAAACATTGACCTAATAATTTATATTTTGTATAAATTATTATTGTTGTTTTTAGTTAAATGTAGACTTTTATTTGAATGAAGTTGATTAGCCTGTGAAAGTTAAAATATATTGAAATTAATTTGTAAACTTGAGCAAAAAGTTGTTGAAATATAATATTCATACAGAAATATGTGATAATCTAATTATTCATAAACTTCAAGCTTAACAATTTTTATTCTGCATACGCGGAGTTGGATTTGATAAATGTATAAACTGAGTTGTATATATTGTTAAATTATGATCGTATGTACATTATTCTTCGTAAAGTGATGTATCAACTATTCTGTCTGCACGCTAATACAAATTCTTAATAGCTATTAAAATTGTATTTACAGACTTATTTAAAGCCAATAAACACTTTATCAGGAATCTTTAAATCTTTAGTATCTATTAACTTTCAATCATACTCATGTAGGCATTGAAACGTAAATGAGATGTATGTCAAGTAACAAAATTTACGAAATTTTCGCAGGTAATGATTCTGCAATGTCTCTTCGACATAATTTAAGATATAAGGACAAGCGTATGTTATTATAGCGTTTTAATAACTTATACTTGAATTTTCATTGCGTTTCTAAATACTCAGATTTCTAAATAAACATTCAAATCTACGTTTCTGCGTTTCTAAATAAACATTTAGATCTACATAATTGTTAAGTAATTAAAATAATATTGTCGAGAATACTACTACCATCATACATGAAGAGAAAATTACATTATTATGGGTGTCACTAATAATATTGTTAAGAATATAGTTGTTTTATTTAGGTAGTAAAGACGCCTGATAGTAGGCAATCGGGTGAATAATTCTCCC